GGAACCAAAAATGGGCCATGTATAGCAAGATGAAGATGTAGCAAGATGGATCAACAGATAAAGGTAATTGTCATACAAACCTGGAGACCTAAGTTTGAATCCTAGTACCAATATAAAGTTGGAAGGAATGAACCAATTTCACAAAATTGTCCTCTAAACTCCATATATGTACATGGCATGAACATGAACATGTGACCTCTACACGAACACACACACACACACACACACACACACACACACACACACAAATCATAAGAAAAAATGAAAAAGAACAGGCAGACAAATAAGAATACTAATAGCAAGGGTAGGTTGGAATTCAATGATAAAAATAACACAATAAATGTAAATGGTCTAAACACCCCAATTAACAGTTAAATTTATTAGGTTGGATAAAGATGGTGCAGTTATCTGTTGCCTAAAAGAAAAGCACTTCAGGTATAAAATTGGTGAGGTTAAAAGTAAAAAGCATGAAGAAAAATGCCAGGGCAAATACTAACGAAGTCAAAGCTGAAGTGATTATACTGATAACAGGCTACATAGGCTTCAAAGCAATCTGCTCTGGAATCAAGAAGAATGTTCATATTGATACAAGGAGAACTCTATGAGTGCTCACAACAATCCCAAATGTTTATATACCTAAGAGGGGTACTTCAATACACAGAAGCAAGAAGTGATCCACCTGAGAACGAAGGGAAAGGTTCTTGGGCATGGTGCAGTTCTCAGCCTAAAACCAAAACAGAAGTTATTTTCACAAGAGGATTATCAGAAACAAAGGGGGAGGGATAAAAGAAACCAAGACAGACGTTCTCACATCAAAGATAAAGAAATAATCATCAGAAAAGTGGGCAGGGTCACAGACAGCAGAGGAAGAGGGTCCTGAGAGGTGAAACATGATTGGTTATGTCCAGGACTGCAACAGTATCATGTGTGGAGGAGTGGGAGCAGAAGCCAGGCTGGAGTTAACTTCGGGCTCAACAGGTGTGGAAGTGGAGCTGACGTCTGACTTTGATGTCAATAGACAGAGGAAAGGAGATGTGGGACTTTATAAAATGGAGGTACTGGGGACTGTTTCTAACTGTGTTACTGTGGAAAGGGCCAGGAAAACAGAGCGTGAACATACACTGAAAATGTGGATAGGAAATGGAACAGGCTATTTGGGGTATCAGAGGACACCGAAAGGATTCTCAGATCTCTAGTGGTGAGACTAGCAGGAAGAGTGATGCCTATGCCTCAGTGTGTCAGCCACTAGAGGCACAGACTGCTATGAATGTGGGGAAGCTGGGACCCAAAGCAGAGTGTAGAGAAGTTTCCTCCTGATGAGCATCCTTCCCTCTGCAAAGTCCAAGTCTGCTGGCAGCTGAGGATGAGTAGGGAGTGTAGTATATGAAAGCAGTGTTCTGTGAGAGCTTTGACACAGCTGTGGGGGACTGCAGTACTTCTGGGCACTGCTGGTGACTCAGAGAAAGCTGTGGGCTCCTGGAAACTAGGACTACAAAGGCAGGCAATTACCCTCTGAGGATGGTGTGCTGCTGTAACATTAAGCTAGAGCATCCACATAGAAGAGGAACAAGAGTTGACTCAGAGTGAAGACTAAAATTAGGAATTTGGGGAGCTGGGGAAATTGCTAAGTGGTTAGAACTGACTGTTCTTCCTGAGGACCTGGGTTCAATTCCCAACATACACATGGCAGCCACAGCTTTTTGTAACTCTAGTTTCAGAGGACTCTACTTAAAGGGTTAGATGCCCTCTTTGGGCCTCCTTGGGCACCAGGAATGTAAGTGGTACACAGACACACATGTATGCCAAACACCCATATACATAACAACAACAGCAACAGATGCAACAACATAGGAGTTTGAAGACTGAAGGTCTCTATGAACTGACACAGCTTCAGTAAGGAAGAAAGTATGCATGGTGGTGCAAAGAAATTAAGGTTTCAGGGGTATATTAATAAGAAGAGGTATGGAGCTGAGAAGGGGATGTATGAGAAGTTGGAAGTAAGGGGATATGATCAAAATAGATGAATGAAATAAAAATTAAAGATGCAGGGCTGGAGAGATGGCTCAGAGGTTAAGAGCATTGACTGTTCTTCCAGAGGTCCTGAGTTCAATTCCCAGCAACCACATGGTGGCTCACAACCATCCGTTATGAGATCTGGTGCCTTCTTCTGGTGTGCAGATATACATGGAAGCAGAATGTTGTATACATAATAAATAAATAAAATCTTTTTTAAAATTAAAAATGCATTTATTTTATGCATGTGAGTGCTTTGCCTGCATGTTTGTATATGCACCACATGTATGCCCACAGAGGACAGAAGATGGCACTGGATCCTCTGGAACTGGAGTCACATATGCCTGTAAGTCACTATGTGCCAGGAACTAAATCTGAGGCCTCTGCAAGAGCAGTAAATGTTCTTAACCACTGAGCTACTTCTCTAACCCCCCAAATTTTTTTATGTGCGTGTGTGCGTGCATATGCACACACAGACACACACTTTCTTTCTTTTTTTTTTTAAAAGATTTTATTTATTTATTATGTATACAGCATTCTGCTTCCATGTATATCTGCACACCAGAAGAGGGCACCAGATCTCATAACGGATGGTTGTGAGCCACCATGTGGTTGCTGGGAATTGAACTCAGGACCTCTGGAAGAGCAGTCGGTGCTCTTAACCTCTGAGCCATCTCTCCAGCCCCCCGCCCCCAAATGTTTCTTAAAAGAATTCAGAGGTAACAACTTTTTCCATGACTTTACTTTTAACTTCAGTGTCTATATATCTGAAATGGTTTTCTTTTAAGCAACATATAATTGTGCTATTTTTAGCAAATCTAGTAAATCTGGCCATTAATTGGGAGTGTTTAGACCATTTACATTTACTGTTATTAATATCATTGAGTTCCATCTACCCTCTTATTATTAACACTCTATTGCTGTTGCTATTATTATTAAGTATTATTATTATTGTGTGTAGACCTTGGACACTTTTCATCAATTGATGATGAGGTGCCTGTGTGAGCAGATGAAATGGACATGATATACAAGGAATTGAAGATTAAAAACTTAAAGGTCATGATATGAATGCACTATGATCATGGCCTCAGAAACTTCTTATAAAGTGGTAAGACCTAGAATGAAACACCATAGGTCAAGAGCCAAACTTCTATTGCTTTCCTATATTCCTAACAGGCTCTAAAGGTGTCTTACCTGTGGCCTGTAGGCCACATGAAGCCCAGGATAGCTAGTACTGTCACAATATCATATAAGATACACATGGATAAGCTCTTGCATTTTGTGGTCCACGGGCTAAACACCCCTAGGTTTAATGTGTAGACCAAGACAGTTCTTCCTTGTCCAGTGTTGCCAGGAGAAGCCTAAAGATTAGACATCCCTTGTTGACTGTTCCTAAACTATATGTGCTCCTATTGCTCATTCCCTGGCCCTGAGACTGCCTAGCTACTGACCTCTATGGGCATATATGTTCATGTAGGGCCTGGTCATCACTGGTAAAATGTGGAAACCATTTTGAGTTATGAAGTTTGGCCCAACGTTAAGGGACATTGAAAGAACCAGGGTGGTACTATGGGACATGAATAGAGATACAGAAAATTCCAGAACCAAGCCAACCTAGAAACATACTATATCCAAGAATGCTTGATAGCCCAGCCATCAGCTGTAGATGTCCACATATCATTCAGGGTTTCTCTTTAGCCTAGGCAAGAGTGCACTCACAAGGCCAATGTCACTCCCAGAAAGCCCCATGTCACCCACACGGTAAGTTTTGCTCCCTTATCTTCAGTACATAGAAAGTGCCTTGAGGAGATAGCCTGGCTTCCAGTTCTGACTCTCCCATGAACTTGCAGTGTGACCTGGCCCCAAAGCCTCGGTTTTGCCTGTTAAACAAGGGGTTGGATATAGGATCTCAAAGACACTGGCAGATCTGACGATCTATGGTGTGTTGGGTATAGGAAGAAGACTCATTAGCTTGCATCACCTAATATACAGATTCTGCAGTAAACAAACGAGTGAAGTCCTGCAGGCTATATCAGTCATGACAGCACAGCCAGCCCTTTGGTGCTCTCTCCTGCACTTTTGTCCTCCTCTCCTTCCCAAGAGCCTGTAAGCAGAGCTTAGGGGGATACCTTTCTCTTCATTAGATTCTCTAGGCCACAGAGTTCACCTGCTCTTTGGCTGTGTGTAAAAGAGGAGAGCATGGGAGGCCTCTGCCACAGGACCATACCTGAGACCCCCCATTCTGTACAGAATGTCTCTTTAGGGTATTATCACCACATCAGTGGTCTATGACCAACATCCATGGGGGTTGGGTCATGTGGAGAAGAGAGCACCTGATACCCCAATTTCTCTAGCCTTTTTCCTTGGAAGAGCAGGCAGATGCCCCAGGTGCTTGACACTCCTGAAAGGCCCTCCTCTGCTGGGAAGGGGATCTCATCCTTTTGCCTCATTTGTAGACACAGTCAGCTCCTTCTTTGCAGGTAGTTATTTCTGATCACCCTTCTAGCTAAGGAATTAATCCTGGGGATCCCAATACCAGTAGGTTACTGGCAAGACTCATCTGCTATTTGTGAAAGGTAGTTGTAGAAAGGACAGCTTAGGGCCAGAGACTGCATGCATGGATAATGAAGATGGGGAGCTTTAGCATCTTGATCCAGTCAATAGTGCTCTTAGGCCACAGACTGGCTACATGCTGATGATAACCCTGGGGAGGTCTAGCTGAGAGCCCCAGGGAAGACTGGTAAACAGACCTGGGTTGGGCCTTTCATCAGTGCTACTTGGATGGAGAGGGAGCAAAAGGACCACAGAGGATCTGACAGGAACAAATCAAGCCCACAATAGCCAAAGTAATATAGACTTTACCCAGTTGCCACACCCCTCCCTAAACCACCCCCCCAAACACCACAGCATGACCACAGAGCCACCCACACTGTCCCACCTCCCCACACAATCTCTGCTGTGGATGGCCTTCTCCAGGGCCAGCTCACCCAGCGATTTCCCTTCCTTCCTTCCAGTACTTCCTCCGGGATGTTCTCCTGAGGAGGAAAAGAACAGGTGATTCTCCACACCCTTGCTGGCTCATTACATTGTCCCCACTTGTTGCCTACCCACACTGTGTTCTCTCAAAGCCTCCTTCAGTGTCCTGGTCTCACCAGTCTCAGAAAGTAGATTAAGTGATGGACCAGGGTGGAAGGATTTCTGCAGGGTTGTTCACTCTGTGGGTCTAGCATGGAAGATAGGCAGACCAGAACAAGGACAGCAGTGACTGGCTGTGGCAAAGAAGCTGGGCTGGGGTACTGGAGAACAGGCAGAAGCTGGCAGAGGAGCCCGCCAGAAGAGGCAGAAGGTAGACCATGGAGTGACCAGAGGAGATGAGGCATGGGGGAGAAGTCCTCATGTCAGTGGCATTGGATCCCTGAGGTCCTAGGCAGATCCTGAGGAGCAGACCTCCTTGATCACATGTTTAGAGCCCAGGGGCCTTTGTGGTGAGAGTCTGGGGATCCCATGTGTTAAGGGAAAAGAGAAGTCAGAAGGGTAAATGGTGAGGCCAGTGAGTGGTGGGTGGAGCTGACACAGGGCAGGTCCATGGGCCAAATGCAGAGTGTTCAAGAGCTTACCTATCTCTTCGGTGGCCCCGTTTCAGGGGCCCAGGCTTCCTGTTCTGCTTTGAATGCCGAGATCCCATGGGCTGGGGAGTGCCTCCTGGGAACAAAATTCTTGTCTGGGTGAAGGAGTACAAACCCAGAGAGGAAGAAAAAGAGGACCTGGTCCCGAGATGGCCAGAGACTGGAGTCAGTTTGGGGGATGGTCCTGCATCAGACTGTACACAAAGCTCTGGAGACTGTTGACAATAGTGTCTTCCTTCACCACCATGGCAACAGTTAGACCAACCACCACCACCACTGGTTAACTAGGACATAGAAACCCTTCAGATGTGGTGTCCTTTCTAAGCTCTTTAAGATCAGACTAAATTCTCAAGGTCTCAGTGGCCATGTCACACAGGGACAGCCAACTGCTGATTTCCATGGCAACAGAGAGACCATGTATCCCCACATCTCTGGGTTACTACAGCAAACCAGGCTGCACAAAGTGCACTGAAGTAAAAGACCTCATTTGGAAGGTCTGCAGGCAGATGGCACCGTCACTGCTGCCCTCTCTGTGGCCATCTCTGGGTCAGAGGGCAGGTTCTGGGGTGGGAGTACACACACTGTGCCTTAAGAAGCCAATGAGAACAGATTCATTCGAGTTCTCAGCCTCTTGTTTCTTCACTCCACTGGAAGCTGTGAGGACCACACGTTCTCACAGCTTCACTTCTGCCAGCCCCTACCCTGAGAACACAGGAGCCTGAAGGCTGCACAGCCTCTCCCCGTCTCTAAACCCTTTTCTCTACTTGTTCTGCAGATGTAGCACCTTGCATGATGCAAGCACTTCCCACTGTCGATTTCCTAGGTGCCTAACCATTCAGTCTACACCATATACTTCTGTGAATGACCCAGTCAGGCCACTGGGGCACCATCTTGGCTTCCTGTTTCACCCTATCCAACTTCGTCTACCATGGGACATTCTGATGTTTCCAACTGGGCATATCCGAACTCTATCTACTCCTCCCCACAAACCAAGTCTGGACTAGGTCTCCTCTCTAGCTGCTCAGCATCAGGATAGTATCTGCCACCAACCTGCTCCTCTCAACTCCACGCTCCAGTGGTACAGGGCAAGCTGTCTGATGCCCATCTGTCCGTGTCCCCTCCTTGTCATGCTGAACCCTCAGAAGCACCCACTGCCTCAGGACAGACTCCTCAGTGCTCAACTCCTCAGATGCTCCTGTCAACTCTCCAGCTTCCTCCGAGGGACACTGCCCCCTGCCTTTCCCTTCCCGGATTACTTCCTTTAACTTCCAACCCACTTCCTTCCTCATTGTTCTTCCCCACCTGCCCTCCTGTAAATATCACATCCTGAATTCCAGCAAGGCTTAGCAACAATAAAGTTTCCAATAAAATGTAGATTTTACTAGAATTTCTAATAAAATTCTAATTCTAATAAAAAGTAGAATTTCTCATAAAATGTCTAAAACATATCTTTGGGACCTACCTAACTTCGAATTTTATTTGAAAAAGTGATTCCCAGATATGTTGTCGATCCCATCTTAATGGGACTCTAGAGACTCCAGTCTCTAGTCTCAAAGCAGACAGATGAAGTCTTAGAGAAACTAAACGGCCAGTGGAGAAGTACAAACAGTGAGCCCATTCTACTAGCTCTTATCCAGTCCAGAACACAAAAGCATCATAGATTGTCAACTGAGATGATTCTTCACCCACTCCAATATTACAGATGGAAACTGAGGCTCAAAGGGAGGGAAGGTCATTGCCAACCCTCTGGATACTGCAGTAAGGATGGGCACTTTCCCGGTGGAGTGTGAATGACAAGCCAGTCTGCCAAGGCACCCTCCTAGCTTCCTGCTTTTCCCTCTCCACTGCACTGGTGTGTGCACGTGGACCGGGAAGGGGAGAGAATTCATCTTCTACAGCCTTCCCCCAATCCCAGATGTTTTCTGTCCTGTCTCTGCAGAACAGAAACTTCTAGTTAAAACCCAGAGGCTCTTTGCAGAACTGATACTCAGACCGGCACTTTCTCCAGTCCTCCCTGGCCCCTTCCTGCCAGTCCACAGGGTTAAGCCAGGAGGAGTGGACCACACAAAGGGTGAACTTGTCAACTAGAGCCAGCTTCTTGGGGGTGGGGGAGCCCATTCCTCTCACCTTGAGGCTGCTCCGTGGGGTTCAGCTGCTACTGAGGCTTCTGCCCATGACACCCTGGGGAGGATTAGGGAGGATGGTCAAAGAAAGCCTGGGGCTGGATATGCTGTATACTTCCATGATCACACCTCCCAGGGGCTAGGCAAGCTGAATGTCCCCTAGATCACACCTACTGGGAGCAGGCTGTTCCCCTGACCCTGAGGAGATGGAGAGTGGTTCTAAACCTCATCTTGCGTACTTTAGCATCTATGTCTATATTCAGCAAGATCTTCTTCAAGCCTAGAAAGATGTCCCTTTGGTTCTGGGCCCATCCTTCAGGGCCCACAGAATTTGAGTCTGAGCTGTCACAGTATTCTGAATTCCCTTCTTTACTGGGGAGCACAACTCTCTAAGGTGGGCACTAGTAATATTTCACAGTCAAGCAGAGGCTCAGGAACTCGTTTTGTATGTGGCTGAGTGGGCAGGCAGAACACGATGCTCTGTGAGGGACACTGTGACCTCCTACCACCAAGAGGGCTGATGAGCCAGCTCAAAAGGGAGGGAGATCGTGGGATTAGTGGGTCAGACAGAGAGGTTTCTCTGCATGTCACCTAAGAGTGATGCTCACCCCCCTCACCGTGACAGGCATCCTGACATTGAGTGGCCAAATGACCCAGGTCCAGGCCTCCCCATAACAAGGCCTCAAGTCTTGGCATCATGGCAACACACTGAATTGTTCTTTGTGAATGTTCAGTCCTTAGATGAGCTGAGTGCAGCTTGGGGATTGCAGAGAGAGGATGTTCTCTGGCAACAGGGGTTCTTCCCCGACAGACTCTTTAGCACAATGGGAGCTCTTCAACCAACAAGACGTACCCTCTGTTGAAGGCTGCTTAGCACGAATGCATCCGTGTCTGTTTCGGTGGTTCACCTCCCTGTCACAATGAGATCCTCACTGTCTTCTTTCAGCCACATGCTGTCCACTCCCTGGGAAGAATTCAGGCAACTGTAATTTTCCCCACTTATTCACACACCCAGTGACATTTTTGGCATCTTTTATATATCTGTGCCAGAGGCGCTATATGCTTGCCTGTTCTGCACTGGCTGGACATGCTTACAGGAAGGGCAAACAACCAGCGTGTGCTGTCCTCCAGTTACCATGGCAACCTGCTGGCCTTCTTTGAGGTGTCTCAGGCTGAAGTAGGCCCAGATGGGTAGATGGGGGATGAGTACACAAGGACAGCTATGGGGGTGGGGCAGGCGGTTTCCCTGGATCCCTGCTACCCTGAGCCCTCACTTCTAAGAGAAGCTGAGCCACTCTACCCATGGTAGTAGACAAGAGTGCTGAAGAGAGCAGGGGTGAGTTCCCAGAGGGAAGTGAGGGTGGCAAGGCCAGGGCCAGCTGGGCTGAAAGAGACATGCAGAATTTATGGACATGCTAAAAAATACACTACACAAGCAATGCACCGATTAAACAAAAAGAACACTAACTAAATCGACGACTAAAGATTAAACTTATAAACTACCATCTAAAAAAGAGTGGAGTTAGGTAAGCAAGGCCAAATCCGGGGCTTTTCTTGCTTGGAGGTGTTTGTGTATTTGTTTTGTTTTGATGCTTTAAAACAATTAATTAATGTGTGGATATACTTGTGCTGCAGCATGCATGAAGAAACCAGCAGAGATCTTGGGACCACGTGGGTCCTGGATTCAGCTCACATTATCAAGCTTAGCAGCCACCTCACTGGCTCTTGGTTATTTTTCAGAGATTATATAAAACTATTATTTATTTTGATTTATGAGTTTCCTTTTTTCCTTCCCTCCCTCCCTCCCTCCCTCCCTCCCTTCTTTCTTTCTTTCTTTCTTTCTTTCTTTCAAGACATGGTCTCACTATCTAGTCTGGCCTAACCTGGAACTCACTGTATGTACCAAGCTGGCTTTGAACTTGTGGCAATGCTCCTGTCATCAGCCCCCAGTGCTGCAATTACAGACATTTGAACTACCACATCTGGCTTGATTAATGGGATTTCTAGAGATTCCTTTAATTATGTATGAGAGATAAATGCCTCTCTTACTTCATCTTTGTCTGGACCCTGAAGGAGTGGGACAGTCTGAGTCTCCTCGGGGGACTCTGGCCCTGTTGTAAAACATATCATGCGATGGCGTGCCAGTTCATGAGCTACCATCTGCCAAGTGCACAGATTCATCTCAGTTCTGAGCATCCTGGATGCAGACTCCATGACTCTGTGATAGAAGAGGGCTTCTGGGAAGCACAGGTGCCCAGCATGCACATGCCCCCCCTACGTACGGGGTGACAGTGACTCATAAGGTAGCTCCCACTTCCTGCCCTCCCTCAGGCTTGCTGCTAAGAGGAGGGGAGGGGACACAAGGGAGGGAGTAAGGGGGTGGGCAGGGAAGAGGCTCCAATCTTGCATGACTTCCCTGGAACGGCAGGTTAGCTGTAATTGCTTGGAGCTGAGAAGCTGTTGATAAATGTTCCTAATAATCAGCCTTCAGATCTGACACCAGCTCAGGCTGGGATGACTGTTTTGAATGGAAATCGAACCCAAACCAGTAATTACCCAGGTGAGCGATGCCAGTCTTCTCCTGGAGCCTGGTTCTAGACAGAAATGGGACCTGCATGTCAACTAAGGGCTCTTTCCTGGGGCCACACTCAAGAGAACGAGCTGGCCTGGACTCTGCCAATGTGACTGGACACAGTGGAGAGGAATACCCACCTTTCTTCCTAGGAACTGCTGCTCCTGCTGCTGTCCCCAGTCTCTAAGAGAGTCCTTCCTACCTGGGCCTCACCCCCAGTGTCCTTTCTCCTACTGCTTGGTCTAGGATCTCTGCTGACATTATCCCTCCATGTCAAAAGTGGTGCCTCCCCCACACAGGACAAGTACGGTTTTCCAAGATGATGCCTAGGACCACTGAACACCTAGTTAGATGAGGAGCCTCATGTACTGGCTTGAGCTGTGGCCAGGTGAGAGGAGTGGAACCATGACAGGCCCTAGTACACACCCCAGTTTATGCTTCTGGCCCACATTTGTTCTTGGCTTCAGACAGGGGTCAGAAAACTGTACCTGGAAATAAGTAACCCTCTCTAGTCCACCCTGTAGTGCCTCAGAGCTTCTCATTCCATATCTGGACCTCCAGAGTGCTGGTGCCACCCAAACCCAAGCCAGAGGGGGAAGGAATGCTTCCTGTGTCTTACATTCTTTGCCCTGCTTCCCACAGGGCTGCTGGACACTAAAAAGGCATAAGCTAGACAGCTAAGACGAAGTGAATGGTGGTTCATACATTGGCCACACTGAACACATCCACTGCCTATACTTCCCTGGCCTAGGCTGGCTGACAGTCTAGAGGAAGTCTATGCCTTTGGGAGTTCCTAAGGAAGACTGAGAAGCAGGCAACAAATTACAATTAATTACAGGTGGGCCCTGATGGCCTTAAGGACACACTCTGGGACACATGTCTGAAGGTTTTTGTGAGAAGCATCAAGGGGGTGGGGGCTGGGCAGGCCAGTGGGAGTCAGAGAGTGTGGCCATAGCCTTTCAGGCTGTTAACTGGGATCTATGCGAATGAATGGTGGCCTCAGAAACAGAGAAAAAAGCTGGCACCTCGAGTGCCGCCTAGTGGTATCATGCAGAAATGCAGCTTCAGGCCAAGTTGTCTTTTCCTTCATACCTGTCCCTATTAAATGTGGACAGAAAGTCTAGGAAGTGGGTTTTTGTTTTGATCAAAAGGGCTTGGGGCTTTGAGAACAGGGTGCAGCACTGGGCCCAGGGTATGGGAGCAGCAGAGCAGCAGGTGGGGGAGGGGCTGGGTCCTAGGTTCCCTTTCAGGACACACTGCGGCCCTTCTAACATTTCTCCACTGCTTCAGCAAGACCCCAGCTGAAGAGACCAGAACCCATGCTCAGTTACCCCGCCTTACAAGTACCAACATCGACTTGGGGGTGTCCAGAGAGGCTATACTTGGCATTGTCAAATTATCTGACTTCTGTGGCCTGGGAAAGGGTCCTGCCTCAGCCCTGTTATCCTGCCGGGTTCTGGAGTGCTCACTGCCCTATTCACTTTCACTTCTTGCCAGAGCTGAAAGGTTCCTGAGGTAATGTCCTGCCTCAGCCCTGTTATCCTGCCGGGTTCTGGAGTGCTCACCGCCCTATTCACTTTCACTTCTTGCCAGAGCTGAAAGGTTCCTGAGGTAATGTTCCCAGGAGTGGGGGACACTCAGCAGAAGGTATATCCATTGTGTGGATGGGGTAAGGGAGGCAGCTGTGGGAGGACCGGAGAGAGTGGTCACCATGGGGTAAAACAGGGCAGCCTTGGGGAATACCTCACAAGGTTGCAAGCTTTTTCTTAAAGGGCCAATGAATAAATATTTTAGATGTGTGAGCCAGATTAGCTCCAAGATTGCAGAGTGAAAGTGCCTAGCCGGTACATAAACAAACAGGTTTAGCTGTGTCCCAGTGAACTGTTTACAAAAGCAGGCACTTGTCTGCTATAATGCCGATTCAGTACATCCTGAGGACATAGCCTCCTCCTACACACGGCCCACAAATACAGGGTGCCCACAGACTACCAGCACACTCACTGAGATCTCTTAGGGCATGGTATAAGGTCAGGGTTAGAATAGGAGCAGTCTTGGAGTCAGGAGCTGTGTTCCTCCTCTTGGCTCACAGCACTCAGATGGGGGGGGGGCACTTACCTGTAGTGAAGGTTCTGGTGCTGTTGTTATTCCCCTTTCTTCCTCTAGGGGGGTCTCTCTTGGTCTAGCTGCTGCCCCTCCAATCTCTTCTCCAGCAGGAAACCCCCAGAGCAAGGGGTGGGGATAGGGGTGAGCGGGCTGAACTGCCCCAGGGACAAATCAACAGACAGATGACACCCGGGGAAGGTGAGGTGGCCTGAGGCGGGAGGAGGAAGTGTAACCCAGCACCAAGAACCAGGGCCAAGAAGAGGCCAGGCTGGCGCTACTAGCCTGGTGAGCCTGGGCCCCACTGGACTCCCACCCCAACCAGGAACACACATAGCTATCGGAGGCCTGTCCAGCTTCCCCTCCCCAGCCCCTGTTCCCTTGTAGGTGACACTGGGCAATAAGATCACAGGTCTCTGGATGGGGCTGGTACACTTGTTCTTAAGTTACACTAAAAGTGAGACTGACGAAGATGGTATCAAGGCTATGCAGACACAGCACGGGTTCATCCAACATTGATGTGGGCCCTGGATTGCCCCAGAGCCCCTCTGAGATGTGGGGTCCTAGGTTTCAGCTTTTGGTGATGGACTGCCAGGCAGGGAAGGGTCCTCTGCCCTGCAGATCACTGCCCAAGGCCACATGAGGATTGTTTCCAGCTCTCCTATTGGATCAGACGCCTCTGGCGGATCCCTCTGGCAGTGCAGGCCCCTGTTTACTTAGGCCACTGTTTTTTTTAGACATTATTGATTGACAGAAACTTCCAGAAAAAGCAGGCCCTCATTGCACCCAATAATAGGCTCAGGGGAAGGGAACTGTATCCACACTGCCCCACTCCCCAGCCTTATCCCTTGCTCCCACCCAATAGAAAGGGCTGCTCAATCTCCCTCCCCCTTCTGTTTTCCTATACATGTATTTCCACTCAGATACACAACACATGGACACTTGGCCACCATGGTG